CATGCCTGCTCTAATTCACCATCTCTATAGTCAGCACCATCACCACCATCACCTCCCATTATGACCCGGAGCGCGCGCCAGGCAGCGTCACCGGTTAAAGTCCTAAATGTGACAGATGTGTCGGCGAGAGAGGCTCCGTGGTGATTTTCTGCCAGAGACATATATATATATCCTAAAGTAAGCTTACCCCTCCAGAGCGGAGTGTCTGTGTGTGTGTGTGTGTGTGTGTGTGTCTGTGTGTGTGTGTGTGTGTGTGTGCGCGCGCTGGCTCATACTCTGACAATAAAAGCTTTTGGGGTTCAATGTGATTGCAATTACAGCTCTTTAAGCCTGTCTATCACAGTCACAATATGGCAGCCCAATGTGTGGCGGAGGGATATTAAATGCAAATATCACCTGACGTAAAATTCAATAACAGGGCACACAGTCTTTAACCTGCTGTTCACCTTTTCATATGTGTAGCGCTGCGACTGCATATTAAAAATATATGAAAATGTACAAGCAAATATTCTAATATAACAATGGGCTAATCCGCAAACACAGGATAAAACACATGGAATATGTTTAAAATATAACTAAGTAATCTCATGTCTCATGAATAGTTTTTGTTCCACAAATATGAATATTCTATAGCCTAATATATAAAAGAAAATAGGCTATAACAAAATAATTATGATCCATTATTATTATTATTGTTATTAGTAGTAGTAGGCTACGTCACTGACTTTTCGCGTGACTTTTTTTTAAAATAACAAATCTCATTGTCTGTAACCTTTACCCTATTATATTGGCAAAAATACTGAACTATGCCTATCGTCATATATTTTAATTTAAATTTAAATTTTATAATTTAAAAATATATATATATAATATATATTTTATCTTTCAGGCTACGTAAATGGCGGGAGAAGCGGTGTTTCCCTGAGCGCGGAGGGGCAGCTGTTCCTCCTCCTGCCTGCCGGTGAATAGCAGCTTCCTGCCGGCCGCTGTCGCTGCTGCAGCCGCTGTCAGGAGTTCGCTTTCCCCTCACTTCCTGCTCGGCTTCCCGGCGGCGCGTCTTCGCGCCGAGCACAACAGGCAAGTCGTACAAAGTGAGAGAGTAGTTTAGCGATTATGTCTCAGTCACGAAACGTATTTATAGTCTTAAAAAAGGAATTTAAAACGAGTGTTTTATTCTCACGGTGCACCCGCCCTGCCTCTGACAGAGCACGGCAGGCACTTTGGGTCTTTTACAGTTTAACACATTTGGCTCTGCATTGCTCCACTTAGAGCCAAATTAGGGGCATTGTTTTTCTCTAAGTATGTTATACAAACGTATCTTAACCTAAAACAAACCTACCCGGACTCACATCTGTTTTACAGCGCTATAAAAACCCTGAAGTTAATCACTGCTTGCTTAGTTTTTCAACATTGTTGCTGCTGGTTTGGAAGTGGTGCATTTTCCTTATGATGAGCCCATCAGACAAGGATTTGCCAAAGTTACAACTGTGTGTTGTTGAATGTTTTATTCAGGACTGAGCTTGCTGAAGCCTCATTTTAGTCAGTCCACATGTTAAAGCCTCAATCAGAGGCAGAGGTCTGGATCAAAGTGAGTTAAGTAAGTAATTGAACTCTGCGGTTACAAAGGTTACAGTCTGGTTTGACATGTTGCCAGAAAAATCTGCGGGCTCTCCCTTCCTCCTCAGGAAGACTGTTTCTGTATGAGTGTGTGTGTGTTTGTGTGGATCCCAGTGAAGTTTGCAGTGGGTGCAGAGGAGAGGAGGATTTGAAGCTAAATGTTGGTCATGGAGGAACAGTTCTGCAGTAGTTTCAATGAATATTCATCCTTTCACCTGCCATATCCATCTTCTAAAAGTCCACAGCAGCCTACTCTCATGGCTGCCCATCTGTGTTGGGTCCATGAGGAATGGGAGAGGGGGGCGGGCAGGCTTTGAAGCCCAGAAGTAAAGTTGTTACACCAGCAAATCTAACTGTTTTCTATCAGCACATTTGGGCTACAGTCCATGAGAAATACAGACATTTAAACCCAAGGTCAGTTTGATAGCTGCAACAGAAGTCTGAATGACTACTGAGTGTAAATGGATTGTTGTAATTATGAGTGTGACATTGTAGTGGAAAGAATCTGTAAAGATGTTTTGTGATGCTTTGAAAAAGTGCTAAAAAAGCTGTTTTCTTTTTTTGTGACAGTCAGCTCACATAGACTTCTTATTTCTGAAGGCTGTTTGCACATTCAAGCACCTACCATAGTCCTTCAAAACCTCTGCGTGTCTTAATATAAACCTCTTAATCTTGCAAACTGAATATTTTCCTTCAGGCATGCACAGACCTGAGCCGTAAAATATTTTGTTAAAATCAGAAGAAATGTAGGAATATCAAAATGTTTGTAGAACAAATACTCCTATTCATTAGAGAGAGAAATTACTATTCACTATGGATATCATCTTTATACATTTTTTTAAATAATGTAATATTCTGCACACAGTAAATAAATATATTTTTTGAATTATAAAATAATCACATAAATAAACTAGCTAAATAATTTATTATGCTAAGTAAAAAAAATTATAATACTTTGGTAAAGTTGATTAAATATGATATAGTTAACACACACACATGCTATCTGAACAGGAAATACAGACAGTCAGTCAGAAAGACAGACAGACACAGAGGCAGGCGTCCACTGCAGCCCAAATTAAAACGCTTTACAATCAGGCAGGGCGAAGGACGGCCCTGAGGCGTCTCAGTTTCCTTGTACAGGGGGTCTGAACCGAGGATCAACTTTCATGTGAGCACTCCCAAAGAAGGATGTTTCTTTGTTCTATCAGGACCAGTCTACACAGCTTCTCCTCCTCTCTCTCTCTCTC